CCCCGACACACACAGCTATCATACTCACCAATCTCAATTAGACGGTGCCCCTCCTCTTCCTCTCTGACGAAGGCCCCAGGGATGAGTCCCAGTGGTCCCGGAACCCACTGCAAGCATCCTTGTTCTGTCTCCAGGGCCTGGGCAAACTGCTCCCTAATCCCAAAGCACAGTCAGGTGCGGGGAGTCAGGGGACACCCGGAGATGTGGTCAGGGCCCGGTCCACCCTGGGTTTTTCCCCAGACCTGCTTGACCTGGCCCCCTCTCTCCCAGGCCCCTGCTCTGTTCCCAGGGGGTCTCTAGCAGAGGGGTTTTCCTACCCCTGAGGGAGGGAGGAAGTGGGGAGCTGGGTACCTTCCACACAGGGAATGGCTGCTAAGACCAGTGGGAAAGAAAGCCAGGAAGGGAGAATGAGCGGGCAGGCCGGAAGCACTGGCTGAGATTATTTTGTTTTGTTATTGTTGTTCAATTTTTCAAGACAGGGTCTCCCTGTGTAGCCCTGGCTATCCTGGAACTCGCTCTGTAGACCAGGCTGGCCTCCAACTCACAGAGATCCGCCTGCCTCTGCCTCCCTCGTGCTGGGATTAAAGGCGTGCACCACCATGCCTGGCTATCATTGTTTTGTTGTGCTGGGCACTAATCCCAGGGCCTGGAGTATGTAGTGCTGCGACCCAGGAGCCGCACCCCAGCTCCCTTTCATCTTTGGTACTCAGTCCAGTCCAGCCACCCCTCACAGCCCCCATCTGCGGATCCCCCTTTCCCGGCACTGTCCCTCGGCATGACTTTCACTCTTCAGGATCCCTTACCCCAGCCCTTCGCCATCCGTGGGCTTCCACCCACAGCCTCCAGCGTGCATCCGGCTCTATCTGGATCACGCCCCCCCCCCCTCCCCACCACAGCCACAGCTCCTCACCTGTCTGAGACTCCCGAGGCCCCAGAGGCCTCCGCTGCTGGCTCTTCCTCCTCTCCTTCCTTCTCAGACTGGTGCCCCGGAACCTCCCTGATTTCTCCGGTGGGGACCGATGTCACCTCTACACCCTGGGCCTTGAGCTTCAGGGTGTCCTTGGAGGTGAGGGTCTGGGACCCCATGTCCCCCGTGCCCAGCCCTAGGGCATCTTGCAGCGGCAGGTTTGAGGGGGCTGCAGGTAGGGCCCTGGGTACCATGGCATGTAACCGTGGTTCCCTCCTCCCCCGGCCTCCCTGGCGGCCCACCCTGGGGGAGACACCATCCTGCTCCTGTGAGGGGCTGGGCAGGCTCTTGGTCAGGGACTTGTTAGAACGGCCCTTCCTCCCCACCAGGCTTCGAAGAAAGCGCAACAGGGAGGAGCAGCCCAAGATTCGTGACCGTGACCGAGGAGTCCGAGCCTGGGCCGCCATCCTGAGAGAGGGACCCTGACTCAGGGAGAAGTCATGGCAGCCAGCCCAGGACCAACTGCTAATAGAAACCTCCAGTTGGAGACTTCCAGGAGTTCTAGAAGGCAGCAGGGAGGTGGGGGTGGGGAGGAATAACTGGAGGCGGGGTGGGGAGGGGTGCGGCTAGAAGGGGAGTGGGGGACGGGGGAGCCAGGCAGGGGCAGGCTCAGCAGAGACCGAGGGCAGCTGAGACACAGTGAAAAGCTGCACCCACAGGCTGTGGAGGCCCGGCTGAGGGTGAACAGGGAGGCTGGGAGGGTACAGACCCTGAGAACAGGACTCCACACATTCCTGTCTCTCTGGAGTTTATTCTGTGCTTGAGGTCGTTCCCTGCAGCCTGGCAGGGTCTAGGTGACGACAGCACAAATTCTACTGAATTTTTTTTTTTCTCCCTTTCTATCAGGGTGTCATGTAGCACAGGCTGGCCTCTATTTCCCCATCCTCCTGCCTCAGCCTCCTGAGAGCTGCGATTGCTGGTCTGCATCACCACCCCCAGCTCCATCCCGCTTTCGTTGTGGCGTTTTGCTTTGCACTAGAGGGAGACTATGGAAGATGAGGGTCTGGAACCAGAGCCAGGAAAGGCAGTGAAGAGAAGGCGTCCCCCCTGGGCTGGGACAGGGCCGGCAGGGGATGCTGCAGACCAGCGGCTTTCAGGCCTGGCCCATAGGACCTTCCTCCAAGCAGCAGCTTCCCTGTGCATCTGCATCCGGCGGCCATCAAGCAACTTCCTCTAGAGGGAGCTGATCACTACCGGGAGCCACTGGCTCCTCTATGGTCACAAAGTCGCGAGGTTTCCTGGGCCAGGAGACAACCAGAGGCGGCTTTCAGACACCATGGATTCGCGGGCTCCGGTTCCTCCAAGTCGGGCCTGAAGCCTTGCAGCTGGGGTCGGCCACCAGCCCTCCGGGATCTGTCTTCAGACTGCTGAGCCATCCCGCATCTGGACCAGAGCCGGGCAGGTACGCGGGCAGGCAGCGCCAAACCCCATCCTCCTAATCCTGGCAGCTCTGGCCCAGGGTGGGGCAGAAAGCCCCGTCGGGAGCCGGCTGAGGAGGGAAGACTTGAAGTTTCCCTGGGTGGTCCTGAAAGCCATGCTGGAGTCTAATCCAAACAGGGCCACTTCCAGCTGAAGGGTCCCTTCTCGTCCAGGCTCCGGTGGCCCTGGATGCCAGGCAACTGGGACTTTTGTTATCTGGAAGGAGGGGAGGGTGAAGGTCAAGGACAGAGACAGAAACTTCACAGTTGATCCTTTTGCTGTCCCAAGACCCCTAGACCAGTGCTGGGTGCAGCCTAGAGGTTGGTTGTGGGAAACATGCATCCTGGGCCCAGCAAGTGGATGTAGTGGGAAGTCAGGTCACTTGGATGGGGGTCCAGGCCAGCAAAGACTGTTCTCAGCCCCCCGACCTGCTCTCAACAGTGAGCCTCCAGGGCGGTTTTCTCGGGGGGTAGAGTCAGCACCCCCTGGCCCTGCCGGCCTGGGATTACTGAGTATAAGAACCGGGGCAGCAGGAAGAGCCCCCTATTCCGGAAGGAGCCGCTGGGTGGAACATGCCAAGTGGAGGGCTGTCTTAATGAGGCCTAGCTCTCTGAGGGTCTGCTCGCCCTGACTCCAGCACTGATGGGAAAGTGAGGGGCAGCCAGCCTCCACCCCCACCCCTTTTCAGAGAGTAACTTTCAAAAATTCCCTGCAGCCTGATAACAAAGGTGAGTGTGGTGCCCAGCCCCAGGTGACAGAGGGCTACCATGCTCGGACCTAGGGGGGTCTGCGCCCTCTTCACTGACAGGAGGGTCACTTCCTGAAGTGATGGAGGCTGCCCAGGAAGGAGTAGGACTCTTGAAAGGGGTGCAAACTGAAAGCGAAAGGTCTTGCTTGCCTCAGGAAATAACTGTCGACACCAGCAGCGGCCAAGACTGGTCAAAGAGGAAAATGAACTTGGGTGTGGCATGGGAGAGGGCACCTAGAAGACCAGCACACCAGTGTCTGAGGCAGGAGGATCAAGGGGTACAAGACCTTCCCGGGGCTGTCTAGTAAGAACCTGTGTAAAATAGATATGTAAACAAACCAATAACCAAAAGAAAACAGTCAGCACCCAAGTGGAGGGCGTGGTGAGGTGTGTGGTGTGAGGCAGGCGGGGAGGCTGGGAGGTCCCAGCAGGTGGTAATGGGAAGGAGAGATGCCCTGGGAACAAAGCATGAAGTAAGTGCTGAGATGTGGCTTAGTTCGTAAAACGCACGTCCAGCATGTACAAAGTCCTGGGTTTGACCCCCAGCTCACCTGTAATCCCGGCACTTGAACAGTGGAGGCAGGAGGATCTTTCTCTGCCCCATACTCAATGTGAGGCCAGGGCAGAACAACAAATCTGGGCCATCGAGACAGCTCAGCAGGTGAGGGGCTTGCTGTGAAGTGTGACAACCCAAACTCTGTCCCTGGAACCCATGTGATGGAAGGAGAGAGCCCACTCCTGAAACCTGTCCTCTGACCTCCACACGTATTTCATGACACACGAACATGTACACATAAAATATATATATATACACGTTTAAAAAAAAAAGCTGGCGGTGGTAGCACACCCCTGTAATCCCAGCACTGAGGAAGCAGAGACAGGAGGATCTCTGTGAGTTCGAGGCCAGCCTGGTCTACAAAGCGAGTTCCAGGACAGCCAGGGCTACACAGAGAAACCCTGTCTCGAAAAACTAAACAAAACCCAAAAACTCTGCAAGACAAATGTCTTTCTCTGACTTCATGGCTCAGCGATTCATTTCGCTCTGCCCTGATTTTTCCAACCTGTAAAATAGATGCGAGGGTGCTAGCTGTACCTGTGTTGTGGGTTTTTTTTTTTTTATTTTTATTTTTTGAGACTAGATCTCACGTAGCCTTGGCTGGCCTGGGACTTCATACGTAGACCAGACTGGCCTAGAACTCATTGTCACACCACGACCGGCCAGTGATGGGAACCGTCAACAAAATTCTCCTAAGTGTCGGCAGTGTGTGGTAGACTCTTAAGAGTTCACGGCCAAGCCCTATCGGAAAACAAGCATGTCCCACCGGCCACGGGGAGTGGACCCTGGAGGAAGGCCTTCATGGTGGGGAGGTGGAAGGCTGAGGAAGGGACAGGTAGCCTCGGAAGCAGCAGAAAGGCCCCCCACTCTCAAAGCAGCCCCCTGCCCCGTCTTGGGGTGAGAGCCTTCATGCCACAGCGTTCTGGAGGCCTCGGCCTCACCTGGTCTCTGCCTGGCTTCCTCAATGATTCTCGTGTCTCCCCTAAGGCTTGGGACCAGGGGGTTCCCATTGCTCCCAGGAGACACCACCAGGCCCCCAAGGTGGCGGAACTTTAGTCCCAGAGGATTGCAGTCTTCTTAGCAGTGGGGGGCGTGGGGTTCCCTCACTCCTGTCAGGACTTCTGGGGTCTCCAGACAGCTGTCCCTGCTCTCGGCTCACACACTCGCTCGCTCTCTTCTTTTCTTTTTCCCCTTGAGACAGGGTCTCACTGTGCAGTCCTGGCTGTCCTGGAACTCACTCTGTAGCTCAGGCTGGCCTTGAACTCAGAGATCTGCCTGCCTCCCCCGAGTGCTGGGAGTAAAGGCATGCGCCACCACACCCAGCCTCATCTCTGCTTTTCTCTCACCTGTCTCCGCAGGGTGAAAGTGCTGTCCACCAAGACCTGAAAGATGGCATCTGGACAAGGACCAGGTCCTCCAAGGGAGGACTGTGATGACTCCCCCTCCCCGTCTGGTAAGGGTCCTCCTGCTCCTCACCATCCCGTAAGCACAAGTGATAGAAAGGCATGGGGCTGGTATGCGGGGGGTGGGGTGGGGTGGGGTGAGGCTTCTCTGAGCACAGGGGCAGGGGGAGGCAAGGGGGGGAGGCAGAAGAGCCAGGCCTGCTGCTGCGGGAGGAAGGAGGAAGTGACCTGGCTTATCCCAGTCAGGTCCAGGAACAGGGAAGGGGGAGGAAGTGAGATGGCAGCCCTATCCGTGTCTCTCAGGTGCATGGGCGGGGAGGTCAGGCTGGTCCCTGGACTTGGGGTTCATATCCCAGGTGTGTGTGCGCTGGATGTGGTAGCTCATGTCTGCAATCCCAGCACTTGAGAGGCTGAGACAGGATTGGCCCAAGTTTTAGGTCAGTCTGTCCTACAGAATGAATTTCAGGTCAGCCTGGGCTAGAGGGAGGTAGAGATACCCTGTCTCAGAAAGAAAACACCAACCCCAGATATGTGTGGTGGCGCACGCCTTTAAGCCCAGCACTCAGGAGGCAAAGACAGGAGGATCTCTGTGAGTTTGAGGCCAGCCTGGTCTACCTATCGAGTTCCAGGCTAGCCAAGGCAACATCTCAAAAACTGAGGACAGAAACCATTCTCCTTCGATTGGCCCAAGGCTCCTGATTTCAGTTTGTTTTTTTCCCGTTCCCTTCACCCTAAGGACTGGGGACCATGTCCACCTGAGAGCTCAGGAGCCCAGTTCTGCGGAGCTATTCTGCAGTTTGGCCCTTGGGAGGAGCAGAACAGACAGAATGTGCATAGATTACAGGGACTTACTAGATTGGGGTGCGTGGTATCTACACATGGGGAGGCTGAGGACCTGGGAGCTGCTTGGTGCACAAGGTGGAGGCCTCAGCAGGGCCAGTCTAGGGCTGAAACCTGGGGGATTCCTGCACGGGCCCCGGTCTCGGTCCACAGTGAGGGATTCCATGGCCCCCTGTCTCCGTCCACAGTGGGGGATTCCCGCACAGCCCCCGGTCTCGGTCCACAGTGGGGATTCCTGCACGGCCCCCGGTCTCGGTCCACAGTTGGGGATTCCTGCACGGCCCCCGGTCTCGGTCCACAGTTGGGGATTCCTGCACGGACCCCGGTCTCGGTCCACAGTGAGGGATTCCATGGCCCCCGGTCTCGGTCCACAGTGGGGGATTCCTGCACGGGCCCCGGTCTCGGTCCACAGTGAGGGATTCCTGCACAGGCCCCGGTCTCAGTCCACAGTGGAAGGCTGAGGCAGCTGGGTTTTTATAACAGCAATATTAGGGTAGAAGTACTTACCCACAGGCAGTGGGGGAGGGCGGGCAGTG